TAAAAGCCGCTTGCGGATCTCAGCATCACTGGGGGACTGTAGAGCACTGACGAAAATGAGACATTTAAACTGATCGTCTGTTAAAGAGCGTAGCTTGAAACGCTCACACTCACGGTTCATCATGTCTGCTAGGGCCCCAAAGTCGTTTGATTCCCGTTTGACAATTTCCAGGAATTGATAGCTAATACTAAACAAGGATACTGACTCACCAAAAATTTCCTTCAGCTGCGACACTGCTTTTTCAAACGTCAGATCCTTCGGCTGTTTGGGCAGGATGTGGTCTATGAGCGTTGTATGTTCACTTGTGCCTAGCTTGCGGAGTAGCAGTCGCATCTTCCAGGAGTCGTCCTGACGAATGAAGTCCGTCCGGAACATGTCTTCCCAGCGCTTGAACCACACTTCGATTGTGCATCCAGAACCCGCGTCATAATTAAATTCAGTGAGTGTTCGTGAGAAGATCAACGGAACTTTCCTGCTTGTTCCATATTCCTGCCGACATTTTCCTTGCTTATTTGACGGGAAATACCTTCAGCCATGTGCGGTTTATACTTCTCCCAGAGCTCTGTTGCAGAAGAAGTAGAGCATGTGGTCAGAATGATTGCAAATAATGCACGAATTTTATCAGGATGTGACGTGTTGCACGGGTCATTAATGCCTACATCCCAGTGTTGGTGGTTTTCCAATAAATTCAGAGCTTGACATGCAGTGCGGAAGGTGACATGTGTAACGCCGTTGGCAATTCTCAGTTGATGGAAAGGGGTAGGATCAGGCACATTGATCAACAACATGCGAAGAAAAATGCATTCACTTTGGTCGGAATGCACGGTGTACAGTCTGCTAGGTTGTCCGTCGACCGGCACCCCTCGTTTGCATCGTTCAAACGATTTTCTACTCACATTCCAAGCGTAATAAGTAGGCACACTGGAATACAGCAGTTGTTTTGCAAACGCGTTGTGCTGACATAAAGTGAAGAAAGCAGTGAACGTTGTAGTCAGCGGATTAAGGGCCATTTGATGAACATTTGCAGCTGTGAACTAAACGCGTTGCCCGTTCTCCAGGTGTACCGCTAGTTGAACAACAGCTGGACTTCGTTCCCCTATCGGTACTGAAAAGAATGCGCCATACAGCTTCATTGCTGCCTACGTATCTCCCAACCTGATACTGGGTGACTTCATCTGTATGTATACCCGTATTCATATCACTTCTGTTTGATTTCAGGCCAAGAGCTGCCCTTGTTCACGTACTTAAATATGAATTTGACGGAGTTGCATTATTCCCCGTTTATGTGCGCCTTGTCCGTTTTTGATAGTAAGGGTAAGTATGGAACAATCCACTAGGTGTCGACTTCGATGTAACCGTTTCGCATTGATATAGTGACTAGGTTACCGCCGTTTTCTGTGTACGGGTTATCCTGTAACTGTGTTAGATAACAATACTCGAGGATATCGCTTTGAGCATTTTCCGTCTATCATGCATGGTGAGTTTGGATTCAGTGAACCGCAAGGTCCATGTATCATATTTTTCGTCACAACTTCATGCAAGTCGTTATCGACGTCAGGATCGGGTATTTCAGCGCACTTTACTTCGATTTTTTTGGAAGTGCTTTTGTTATGGAGCCCTATTAATATATGTGCATGTGGCAGTCCTCTCTTTTGCCATCCCACTGAGTACATCAAATTACGTATCGACGCAAACGCCTCGTGTTTTACCAAGAAGTTCATCAGCGATTTTAGCTTTTGTCTGAAAACACGTGCTGTGATATCATGCCTATCCACCAGCGATTGCCCAGGAAGTAAGAGCTGTTGTATATCGTCCCAAGTTGGATTGCATGTGAATGTAATGAATAGGTCGGGACGCCCGTAATGACGAACATACGCAATTGCATCTTGAGCGTACTCATGCATATGACGCGGACTGCCTGTATATGAAAAGGGCAAAATTGTGAGCTGCATTGCCGTCATTCACAACTGCATCTCTCAAATGAACGTATTCTTCAGAGCGAAGCTTGGTCTGATTCATGCGGATGAATAACAAACATTCTGTTTCGATTTTGGCGTACATATCGACGATGTTTTGGTGAAACAATTGACGACACTTCAAACTGTGATTGTCTTCATTCTCTCGAATCATTAATCGGTATGAATAAAAGTTCATTGCGCTGCATTTCTTATGTGTATCTTCGCCACTGACTGGATTTATCATTTTGACGTTGAAGTGATATCCATCAGCACCATCCCAAAAAATGATAGGATATTGCAGAGCATCGTAGCATCTATGAGTTTCGGCAACTTTTATCAGCTGCTCGTTTCGCTCGGTTGGAATTGATCGCCGACTATAACGATTGCAACTTCGTCTATAGTTGGAGCATTAAATCCTCGCACATGTTCTCCAGTTGGCGTTTTGTCAGCATAGAAAACAATCTTGTGTGTATCAAATCTCATCGTGTCACTAGCCGTCTTGAACAAATGCACTAACTTATATTTTTGGTGAAGAAGCTCTTGCAACTAAGAAACGATGAACCTTTATATGCCGGCGGAAATTCCGCAGCGTGCATTCAAATTATCATTGTCATCACCGGTGAAGTTCATTTGTAGTGGTTACCCACGTCGGCTAGTCAAATGCCAATTGCGTAAAGTGCTAAACCGGCAGACAAGACCCACAACCGAGTGGATAGGGACGGTAGGAATTCCGTACAAGGAAGGCGATTCGGTGGGTACTAAACAAAGAAAATATAAGGGTGATCTTTCAGCGAGGTCGAACGCTACGTTCGGCGCTGGTACACCTGAAGGACCCTCTTCCCAAGGATAGGACGACTAACTGTGTTTATAAAATTAAATGTAAGACTGTACACATGTGTACATAGGCCAAACAGCGAGAGAATTACGCACACGAATTTCAGAGCACAGGAGACGCATTTCAAGACCACCAAGAAACGAGTTTGAATACCAGGCAATAGTAAGAGACTCGGCCTTGGCTATGCATGCATTAGACACGAGTCACCAGATAGACTTTAAAAAGGCAGAGGTCATTAGGAGGGGTATAACGATCAACACCTCAGCGCTTGATTGTCGAGGCGGTGGAAATTCCCAAATCTGACGACTGCGTGAATAGAATGGAGGGGGTAGAACTCCCTAATGCGTGGCGAGCGATCTTAAGCCGGCCAGTCTGACGAGCATCGGTTCGTGGATCAGATTGGAAAGTGCAAACCGACTCCCATTGTCAACCCTATGAGCTTATCCGTCAATGCCATGACCCACAAAGGTACACCTGGACTATTCCCACTGTGATTGAACCACCTGAGGTGACATCACGAACTGTTACCGTAATGACACCTTGCCTGAAGTCTCGAGTAACGCGGTTATCGTCCCTGTTCGCTATAAAATCCCACTCCAATTGCACATTGATTCACCTGGTCTGACGAAGCTCTTGTGTCAAGGGCGAAACCTTACCAAACTACTATACCAACCGATTGTTTCCAAACCTCTCGGAACTCATGACTACTCGATCGGTTCCAAGTATCTTCCAAGAATTCGATACATTTGTAGTACTTTATCTTGATCATCTAGAAAAGGATGCAGTGATCTGGCTTTATGATAAATCTGTTCTTTTACTTTGAAAGTGGGCTTGAATAGAATGCTGTTATGATTTCTGCACGGAAAGACGCTATCTGGATGCATGAGTTGTATTTCCTGATGTTAGCGAGGAAATGTTTTGATTCTACGGTATCTCCGGCACCACAATTTTTAATGGCTCTGACGGTTCTTCGATTTGAGCCAGCTAAAATTTTCCTACAGCGCAACACATTCCTTTCGTTTTTCCATTAAATTTCAACGCCTTGCGATACGGACACACTTCAGCCATGGTGCCAATGAAAACATGCTGACTCAAACAATAATACTCAACTGGGTTGTACCGGTATGCTAGGCGATTGAAATTGTGCGATTGCTGTTCACGTGGTCGTGTTTGACACTGATCTGCCGTTTCTCGTTGACGACTATCATCCACTGTCAATCTGCCGCGTTTATTCTGTTGAGAAGGAAGCCTATCTGAAGCTGCAGAACGTGATTGTTTTCGTAATATTGCCTACTCGAGTTTGGCTGCACTTCGCACCGCACGTGTCTGAGCCATTCTTTGTCTGTGTTCCTCAGTTTGATTTGCTCGTGCTCGTCACATTGCTTCTGCTGCGCGAGTATAACGGCTTAACCCTGATCTTCTCTGCGTGACATTACTCAGGTGATCTAAAGCAGATCGATAGGACTGATAAAGAAGACAAAATGCTAACGCAACAACATATAAAATTACAACACAATCTAACATGGAAAAGCGTGAACTAAAAAACAAATCAAAGTATTAAATTTACCAACGAACTATTTGTATTCAAAAGTAGATCAAACTGCAGTGTAATCCCCCGCCTGTTGAACTGAAAAGTAAGAAAAAGCGTTAAAAAAGAGAAAGCTAAACAACACTCACGATGTGAACTCCATGTTATCTCCACAGTTCAATTTTTAACAATCAATCTTTGCGATTGTAATGCAACTGAAAATATCTTAAACTATCCATCAACTCATAAGTAGTGCAAAATACCCACTAAGTTGTCATATATGGAAACTTTAAAACATAAACTAGTATGCTAAAAATGACCTCTATACAATAAAATACGTTTGTTTGTTTGATAGTAATCGCAAGCAACCTTGTGTCAAAATTTGGAAGCAATCGGTGAAGAACTTTTGGAGAGTACCTCGAATTACAGATATATATATATATATATATATATATATATATATATATATATACGTTCGTCATGTGTTGACCTCTTGATAGCGTTTGGGACCCATGCGGCTCTCTAGGGGTCCTCAGTTTGACATGCCGTATGCTATTCCTCCCTATCTTCGTGTTGAATGAATTTTCCTTCTATGCTTTGTCGGATTGGATTGCTAAGTTATTCATCAATGGGACATTCCACCTAATCTTACCCGCATTTATGCTCTACCGGTTTCCAGAAGAACGCTTCGATCAAGCGCAGAAAATCCGCGACGCAATCGACTATTTGCAACAAGTATGTTCACCCCTTCGCTTTTCACTTAACCTGTTCAAGTTACTAATTCTAATGGTAACCATACTGATGGAAATGTTCCAGCAACGTCAGCTACAGTTCACTATGCGAGGGCTCTCCATAGCACAATATCTTGCTACACTAACAACGCATATGAAACTCGGCGCAGCGACACTTATCAAACTTACTAACGGGAATGTCCAAATCTCCACCAGTGGCTACAGGCGCTTTCAGCATTGCATAGAGAAATTTCAAGCTTGTTCGTCGCAGTTCTAGTCTTTCAACAATGGAAAATGTTTGAAACACTAAGCCAGCACTCTCGAACTCGTCATAATGCGAACAGACTGTCTCTCTAACAGTACGGATGAGCATAAGCGTTTGAACTCCTAAAGGAACCAGTTTATTACTGCAGGGGTATAAACTGACTAAAAATACTTTGATAGCACTTTACGCAGACGTTTTATGAGGTGTTGTGGAACTGCACTGGTGTGCAGTTCCATGGTTCCGGTTTTCTGCTCGACGACTACTCACTTTTACTAGTGCGAAGTTAATTTGGTTATTACGACCTCGTTTCTTTTCAGGCATTATTCACCTCCCGTTACGTCGAACACATCGCTCGTTGCACAATGTACGCACAGACGAGCGGGAAGCTCAACTCCATGGGATATAGAGTCGGTGAACGTGTAATCAGCGCAGGGATAAGTCACCGGCTACTCATTCACTAGCGTCCTAGTAATGAGATAGGAAATGAAACTGCCGAGTGTCAACTCAGCAACGCTCACTACACACACTCTCGCGGTTTGCCCATAACCCTGTCAGTTACTGCCGCCTACGCATGTCTATATTTCCGAGTTCACGATCCTAACGAACATACAGACACATACAACCAACATTCCAATGGTCCCGGCTTCGACGCCTGCTATGTCTACCTGAAAATATCAAACAAGGTTGGAACGCATTGTGGAGTGCGGTGGGCGACTCCCAATATATCTCTATGTTTCTTGGCTATTTTTACGCAAGTGAACGTCAGTTGAGAACCACCAGATAGAACACTTCCTTTTCGCTGTCGCACAGACGGATCAGGGCAGTTTCTAGTGGCAAGTCACTAGGATGGATGTGGGTAGTCGGGACAAAGCGTCTTATTCAACCTCAATAGCATCGGTTAGTGCGGTATCTCTCGATCACTAGAGTTGTTACGTCAACATTTCTTATGCACCGAACCAACGTTACTGAGAATGAATCGGTCACCCGTCTCTCTCAGTAGCTGTCTCGCCCGCAGTAGTCTTTCATGGAGTCGCTCATGGAATGGGTTAGGACAGCATTTTAACGTTCCCGATGGCGCGGGTGCAGACCACTTCTGGGCTTCCTAGTCAGACGACCTTGTAGAGTGTAGGGACAATTTGTAGCCCGCATCCCAACTGAGACCGTCTCCGTGCTTAGCTCAAACCATTTGAATCTCCAGGAACCTATTCTGCTACTCGGACTCCCTTGCTGAGACAATATGCGGCCTCTATTTATTTTGCCTATCACTTAACGAGTGATTATGACCCATATGTGGCTCACCTACGCCGTCCGTCGATGATGATGTTGCAATTCAGACTAGTAAGACTGCTTTGCGGACATCCAGAAAACTTTGTCAAAGTCGTCCAGTCAAATGCACCGAATCATCCGATAGTTTAGGGCTAATTTGCACCTTGTTGAGGACCTTACCGTCATTTGCAGTCCATGGCATCCTTTCATTCGATGATGACCATACAATCCATTGTGAACGCTTGTAATGGATAGATGTTTCTCCGATGTTGAGCTTGTAGTCATCACGCTACTGACAAAGGCGGTCACCTCAAACTTCGACTCGGAAGTGCCCTCTGACACAATAGTTTGACTCTGGCAAATGACCGACATGATCACTCATGTCGTCTGCAGTGATCACAACGTCCATGGTTTTGGCTCATCAAATTAGGGAACAGTGTTGTTGCCAGCTTCCCGGCCACAATCCGCGGGGTCGTTGACCGAAACAACATAGGCGATGCCTCAGCCGCTGCTTATTAACTTCAATGGATCAGCAACATCTAATCGGACACTATCGACCACTCACTTTGATCTGGTTTAGAAAGCAAGATCCATTCCTTTACTGAGAACGACTCAGACACCGTAAATATTGTGAGTGATGTATTCGGCGTCGTCGGGGGCGCGATGTGCGTACGCTGTGTCATTGAAATCGGAGTCTCTTGAGCACGGATAATGTGGGACATTATTGTCCTGTACGTGTATTTCAGTAACACAGCATCGGACAACAACCAGCGAGCTTTGGGTCACAATGATTGTCAAAGTTCGTGTGTGTGATAGTTTAAAAACCCAATGTCATCATCATTATACACCTTAGCTAGAGGTAGAAAACACCTCAGGTACTGAGCAGCAATACATAAGAAAAATACATACAACAGGTACACGCCAGCTGAGCTACCAGTAACGGATGGGCATCGTTCCGGAAAGTTGCCAGCTGGCTACTATGCAGCAAAAAAAATTTATTTTTCAATATATTCTGCTAAGAAATGAGTTCGCGGCGGGAAGAGGAGACTAAGTGGGATCGGGAGGGATAGTGAAACTTACAGCACGAAGCCACTGAGGTCGACTCCTAGCCATATCAACAAGTGTATCCAGCCAAACGTCTTCATCGTCTTTCGGACCCCAACCAGGGAGCCGAGAGGCTCCAACCGAGCTCAAAGTCGAGGGAAGCGCCTCCACTGCTCTCGACTAAGTTATCGCTTGGCCACCCCTCTTTTTCATCCACACCCCCGGCATGCAAACAACGCATGTCGCGGGAGTCGGTGAGCTGCCATGCGCAACACGTGACCAAGCCATCGGAGCCTGGTACATGAAATAACCGTGCTGAGCGGTTGGTTTCCTCTTTCTGCGCCATCAAAATGTCGTCGTACACGCTCGTTGCTCACGCGATCTTCCCACCAGATGTGAGCCAAGTTGCGAAGCCACCGGTTGTCGAATGTAACCAGCCTCCTTATGTCTGCCGATCTAAGGGGCCAGGTTTCACAACGGTACAGTAGGGTCAAAGGTACGGCTGCATTGTACACTCTACCCTTCAGGGGGATATTGATGTCACGCCTGCACCATAGGTGGCGAAGATTTGCAAAAGCTCGAGGCGCTGCTGCTATACGGTTCGTTATCTCGTCTTTAATCCCACGGGAACTGATACAACTTCCCAGGTAGTTGAATTTTTGAACGACTTCTAGCTGATCCCCACCAAGGGTCGGCGAAGCAGGCGGTCTAGGCCAATCTTGGAGGAAAGCTTTGCAATTCGACGGTGCAAAGCTAATCCCGAAGTGACAGACAGCCAGTGTTTATCTGTCCAGTGCAGCTTGGCACGTATGAGAACTGGCATAGCCTCTCTCAAATCGACCAACTCTAGACAGGCCTACCAGTCGTTTTGGAAAATTTGAAACAATCCATGCACTTCTTTAGCCCGCCACGGCCAACCGTAGGTGGGAGCTGATGTATTTGCACTAATTTCACTAGGAACTGATTGTCTTAGGGCTGTCCGTATCAAGCCATTAGACAACGATTATTGCTCTCCCGTCATTAGAGACAATGCGTAGCACTACTGCATGCGGCCAATCATGGTTGGCGGCATCCGGTTCCAGATTTGCCTGTCGCTGTGGCCTTTATGGGACACCCACAGGATGCCTGCGCCTACAGAGAGACCATAGATGGCTTGCGCTGCACCATCCACCGTTCCATCCACATACCCTATATCCAGTGTAAACCCCAAGGAATAAGACCGGAAAGCATGTGGATGGGAGCTACGTTTCATCAATGGAGCCGGCCCACACTCCTTCACAGGCTAACACACGCTGTATGCGGGAATCAATCCCATACAAGGCGATGGCTGGATCATAGTCCGCCCCACACTTAGTGCATGTAACCACTCTTCGAGCATAGCACGGCCACGAGGGCCGTACACCCCGCCCCCCCCCCCCAGCAACGATTCACCGTCTTCTGGATCCAAAAATGGAGGTGGAGGGTCTTAGACAGGTAGGCACCTTGTCAACATACACACCAAGCTCAGCCACACTGGGATTACAAGCAACAGCCAATCATTTGAAATGACGATATAAAATAAAATAAATCGTTTAATGCATACAGTTACGGTGACGTAACTCTGCACTAAATATGCGAATGAAATAAATTGGTTGCAAAAATATCCGCGGAGGGTTCAATTCGTCAGGAAATATATCTTAAGCAAATGCCACAACCGCGAAAATGTTATCGAACTTAATTACGATTAGCTCAAGCGACGTGTGCAAGCTAATAGAAGATAGTTCAGGTAAATATTAATCTGAGATTTTAAAAAAGCGTTAGTAAAACTATAACGAATCCACCACCTGAAATAAATAGACTTGGCATGCAACCACGCGGTTAGTAAATGGACTGCAGCGTACCTACAAACCCTGCGCCGCCTCTGTCTAAATTCTCTGCAGAACCCGTCGTCGCTTCGGTGGTGGTCCTGAGTGGCCTGTTATGGCTCACTAGGCCAGCCTGACTCATGCACTGGCGACCGCATGTGCTACAGTACCAGGTGAAAAAATAAGCATTAAGACGAGTTAGGAAATCCACCACCTAAAATAATGAAACTCAGCATGCATGTACGCGGTTAGTAAACCGATTCTGCCGGTTCTGCTTACGTTCTCAGCAGGACCCGTCTTCATTTTGCTGCTGTGGCCTCGCTTATGGCTCACTATGCTTGTCTGAATCAGGCACTCGCGACCACATGTGCTACAGCACCATGCGCTCGATGTCAATGGAGTACAACCCATACGCGCCTGTCGTTTCCGCACTTGCCACTTCTTCTCTCCATGTAAGAGGACTTTCTCCTACACCTCGGCAACGGCCTTCGTGATCAGATCGCGCCATGCCCGCCGATCAACCGCTTTCGATTTCCATGACCTGCATTTAACATTGGAACATGATAGCCTCACTTTGATCACGTCCTGCAAATCTTCCTGAGTTTATAACCCACACTCTCGCCCACACAGTGAATTTTTGAAGGCAAAGGACCACTGACTTCTTTCCGTGCTGCGAAAAACTGGATGCTGAAACTGGATCTATGTAGCCACTAATCTCTGACCTGTCTGGTATGACCTGACTTTGAAGCCACTCAAATAGTGCCACCGATTCCTGGATTTAACTGGAACATGCTTTCGCGACCAATGTACATCCGACTATGCACTGATGATGCCACCTCGGTTGGTGATGAAACGTTTTCAGCCAAATTACCATGCTCGGCGAACAACGGAGCAACTAAAAAGTACCACCCAGCGTGACTCATTGGAACACGTAGGCACGCATACCGTCGTACTGTCTTACTATCTAGGTTCGTCGCAGTAGTATCCCTTGTATTACCTTGATCTTCCATGGATTGGTTTGACTCTCTTTGGCGGTGCAAACTTTTCATGTGGTAACACTTTTTGTCCGTTTAAGCACACGTCACAAAAACGGTGCAGATTGATGTCTGGTTGTCATTCAGTAATGCCGTCAAACGGCAAATCGTTCGCTATCTGCGTACCGCCATGCTGATCATCTGACGCCCTAAGTAAGCGTTGAAATTATGACCTTGCATTGGTTCTAAAGGGGTGCCTCATACCAACTAGCTGACCGGTTTAACTAACGTGACTTGCGAGTTTCGCTTTATACAGCTACCGCGTACCAGCCTGTTGCACCCAAAGTGCATTGTAAGTCGTGGTCTCTCCAAATGAAACTAGGTAGACGCCTCTGTATACAAACGCAGAAACGACAGACTATAAATTGTCTTAACTCACACCTGTAATCAGATATACAGATGTTACGGTAAACGCCTCTTACCAGCTTATCATCGAAGAGGCCGTTCACAACTAGCTTTTTTGTACATTATGTGACACCCATATTCGGCCATCGATCGCACTTCACAACGGAGTTGCTATTAGCAACATTTGCTGGTGAAGCAAGTAGACCACCAAAGCTAAATACATTATCATAAATGTACTTAATCATTATTCTTTACTGGGTAAGCAATTCAATGCCAAACGCGTCTGGCGCTTTTGCTCATTTACAGGTCTCTTAGAGTGCCCTATTCTGAAGTCATCCAACTCGCGACTTTAATCACTGTGGGGTGCTGGGTTAGCCACTGATGACGATCCTCTGAGAGTGCTTCATGTGCACCAAGTGGAGCTTCAGTCATTGACTGAGTGTCCACCAGGAAGAAGTTTATGATATAGGAGCAGCGACTTGGCGGAACAATCGATCCTTCTATGTGACTATCACTCTTGTTGGCTTTTTGTCACGTTGGCCACCGGCTGGTCTTGACTTGCATTTTACTTGCACATATTTAAACATTACCATTGAAGCAGTATGCGGACCATCCAACGTATCTAATTGCTCCAACATTTTTCCAAAATTAATGTCATCTGCTGGTCTAGTGTGAATGGTTAGGAAGAAACGGTCTTCGTTGCATCTTACCATGTTGAACCCCCAGCCCGGTGCTTCTCGCCTGTGACACGTTTTACGTCCAGAGTAATGCCGGTTCAATTTGAGCGGCATACCAGGTTTACACCTGAGTTCTTGGACGCACTGATTCTTCACAAACCTTTTTCACCCTTCATCGTAGCTGCACGTCGTTTTGAGTTCACTCGGTAGGTTATTTCTTCTTCGTTACAAATCAACCTTCTTACGTTGTCCAGATCGCAGCACATCGCGCACGTTTAAGCGGGGAGAAGATCAACCATCACTTGCTACCTTCGCTTGTCATATATCCATAACCTCCCCCTCAGAAGGTGATCTTGCGTTTCATTTACCTCCACCCCCCAGGTCGGCGAGCGCTTGGGTCGTTTGAGTTTGGAGAAACAACAAGCTGTGGAAGAGGAGAACTATGAACGTGCAAAAATAAAAAAGATACAAATCGGCGAACTCCGCGCCAAACTGCATCGCGATTTGGATTTGGTGAATTTGATTTCGATCGCATCGATCGAACTTCAAAATCCAAATGAGGTGAAGCATAACATTGCTTAGTTTCCCATCAGGCTATTGCTATGTTCTGCGTTCATCATTTCCCTCTGGTGCATAATCTCTAATTAAGCTGTCTTCACTTCATATGTCACCGACGTCGCAATCACTAGTCTCATTCTGGGTGTTATGGTTCACAGATTCTATATGGACAGGATATAGGTCTTCGTCGTTCAACATGGCTCTGGGCACATCAGCTCGAATACTGTTGCATTTTCTGTTTCACATTTATTATGCACTGAACTTTGGCGATCTGATTGGTGGAACATCTATTTACACCTAGTCATCACGCCTTTGTTCCACCTCTGCCGTCAACCGACGAATTATCCCTAATTTGCGCATTGTCTCGTTTGTTCGTAGTTATGCGCAGAGCACGTCATCATTTGTATCCTGTGCATGTCACCGGTCTGTATTTCTCTGCGGACGGACTCGATTGCTGACCAGTTCAACCATTCCTTAGTTTCTGTGCACGCTGCCTTTTACACTAACGACAGCATCAACACTTGACACGTCAACTGGGGATGCCAAACAACTTAGCTGTTATGCTGCAACGCCATTCATTTAGATGGTAGTGAAAATGAAAGCAGAAAATGAAATGTTTCGTTTTATCTTTTGCATCTGCTTTGACGGTGGTTGAAAGGGGGGTGGGGAGGGAAAAAACATTCAAAATGTCATTGATATCCACTCATAGCCATGACAACGAATGGGTTCATGGTCTTTCCGATCCGAACCAGGGAGTCTGGAGGAACCATCCGGGGCCACTTTGGAAGTGATAGGCTTCACACTTCGAGACCAGGTCATCTGTTGTCCCTTAGTTGTCCGGTGGCCGAGTGGTCTGCACGTTTGCTTTGCAACCATAAGGTCACCGGTTCGAATCCGCGTAGGGGTGGGCGTCCTCGCGGTGTACTCAGCCCGCGCGCGACTGGTGGTAGTCGCGCGGCAGCGAAGCGCCGTTACGGCGTACAGCTGACACATTATTATTATTTATTACTCTTCTTCTATCCAGATCCGGTCACACAAACAACACGTTTCGCGGGAGTCGACCTGCTGGTATGCGTAACACATGACCCAGCCATCGGAGTCGGGTGCGTGAAATACCAGTATTAAGCGGTTCATTTCCTTCTCCTGCGCCGTAAACAAGTAGCCGGCTATTTCCATTGCTTAGGCTGTATTCCCATCAGTAGTGGGTTAGGTTGCGAAAACACTGGTGGTCGAACACAAATGGTCGCTTTCAATTTGACGATTTAATTAACCAGGTTTTGCAAACCTGCATGGAGGCTCAACGGACCTCTACCCATCAGGGCGAGAGTGATGTCGCACCGGCGCCACAGACGACGACTAGCGAAAACATCTCGAGGTTTTGCCATATAATTGGTAATCTCTTCTGTTCCGCAGGCGCTTATATAGCTGTATAGTTTTTTGAACGACTTAATTGATTCCCACCAGGGCTTATCGCAGGGAGTGGCCCCTGCGAATCTGGAGTAGAACTTTCCGTTTTGCCGATCTAGAACAGAACCTGAAATGAATCGCATTCAGTGTTTATCTGATCAGCGTTGTTTGACGAGCGCAGCAACATCGTCGGTATAATTCAGGTTGAGAATTCCATCTGGAAATAACGGTACACCTTTTGAGTTCTGTCAGGCTAACGCCATTTCCGTAACATTTCCATTAACGAAATTGAAAGGGGAAGGTGACAGCATGCATCGTTATCTCAGGCCGCTGGAGATACTGAAGGGTGACGACAGTTTACCATTAACAATCCTCCTACCTGAACTACACTCGTAATGCGCTGTTAAAATATTTACGCATTTCATAAGCGGTCATTCCCAAGGGGCACATCGATCCATTGATTCGAAGGCATCTTTGACTTTGTTGGACACAGCTACGGTGCTTGAGTGTTGGAGCTCCAACAACGGACGTAATGGTAGAACGTGGCTAATACAAACGCCATTTCGACGAAACCCAATTTGCTCTTTAAAAATCTGACTTTTATAGGGGCCAATCGATTTCTGAAGTGTCACAAAGATGGTCAACTTGCAGTCCATGTTTACCACACTGTCGCTTACATGGTTGACGCATTTCAGACGACAGCTCCCTCTGGAAAATCTGGACGAAACGTGGAGCTTCTCTTTCCACAGCTTCGTTAGTAGATCGTGCAGGTGAGACACAGGAACTGACCATCAAAGTTGAAAAGGTCTGAAGCAAGTCCATCTTGTCCTTTGGCCTAATTCCGATCTCACAGTACGGATCCAGAAGGACAGCCAAGAAACATGGCGATCACTGACATGGTGTAACTGTTACTTCTGTCCCCTGAAATTACTTTTCAAATTGTTACGCCCAACAGTCCCAGCGTTGTTATTAAACTTGGTAGACAGACTTCCCTTTTCATCGCACATCGTTGAGCTACCACAATGTTTCGTTCTACGCACTTTCCGTACCAGACGGAATAGCTTCCGATGGTTACCATGTTGTGCTACTGATTCCATTTCCTACGCACGATCAGTCTACCATACTTCATGGCCTCACTTTTGACCGGCACAGAATTTTATTCTGAGGTCTTTGGTAGTCTCGTTGTGTTCGCTATCAGCGCGCATCCAGAAGTGCCAGTGACTATGTAGTGACCCATCGTCCCAACTAGTTATTTGATTCGCCACATGCTGCTATCAAGATCTGGAGAACATGTGACCAATGGCCGTCAACTGTATGTAGTGAGCGCCTACTCAGTTCAGATACCGTCGTACTTTGATACGCATTCAGAACATCCAGCTTCGCCAGTTGGCGGCTGTCTACGCGTTCGTAACGTCATCGCAGAGGTCGCCGAAACACACCCGGTGGTCAGCACACTCGGTTACTTGGGTCACCGTCCACGCTTGTGCTCCAATTTGAGGGGCAGTTTTGAATTCAATCTGCCCAGCTGTAACTGATGGTGATGCGATCGATTTGCGCCCATTGCTGATCAGATGCTGGTGGGCGCATGGCTGCACTTCCACTAGGTGCGCATACAATAACTTGGCTTGTATACCTTTGTTCCACCGAAAATCTATTTTCACGCGTGTGCTCCGTCTCACTGAATTGTATCATGTTGTGTGCAAGAAACTGTACTAATTTTGTGGCTGTTTCTTCCCCCTTATTGTGTGATATCTGTAGATGTTGAACCTCAACCGCGGACCTGTTTAGTGCCAAGCACACATTCAGTTTCGCTTCGTCTTCCCATCCGTTCCCCTTTGTGGTGTGTCATGTTGTACACAAAATCCGGCTCATCACCAGCCTCATTGACAGATAGTTCACTACTTTATCCGGGATGTCATCCCCATAAGTTTTCGAGAAATGGATCACTACAATATCCATACCACTTGAATGCGCATTCTGTTACGCAGCATTACCTAAGTCGCTTCCACATTGGTGGTTCTCATCGAGTTACTGCCTCTGCTTCAGTGAATCGGTTAACGGCTCACTACCTTCGGCTTCATTCATGGTTTGCCCACTGTTATTTATTGACTACTCTAGTTTGCGTAATTAATCTCGACTGATTTTTTCTTGCTTAACAGGCAAACGCCGAATTTCAAGCTTGCTCTGCCTATTTCACCGTTTGTTCGTCCAATTCCATCTTCCATTACTTTTTCGTCTGATACGTCACTGTCGCATCCTGTGATCTTCCCTACTCCGTTTTACAGATCGGTGGACAACAGACAGGTAAGTTTTTCCGTGCGCCAGCGGCGTGCATTACCCAAATATTGGCCCGCTTTTTTCTACTTACTACTCTCTAATGATAAAGTAGCTGAGAATTTATGAATTTTTCGCCTAAGTCATGTATGGTTGAGGTGGACTGCTGTGGATATTAAAACCTATACCGAATTCAGGCTGTCACTCCCGCAGATACGGCTTCTGAACCGGATTATATTTGTGGGAGCTAATGTGTGTTGTCTCATGGATGATGTCTTTGGCCTTACAAGGTTTGGATGCGCTCGATGCATATAAGTACAAGACACTCGAAGCCTCTATCTCGATTGCCCTCTTCCGGCCGCATATGGGCGTGCTGTCTTCGTCATAGGGCTACACAGATCCCAACCCAGTCATGTTGTGTGTCCTGTGCTCGTCTTACTTCCACTGTGGAGTCGTTGAGGTGCGTGTTGAAGGTGTGTATGCATGGTCGAAATCTCACGTGGCCGCAATCCATCTGCCTATCATTTTGTTCATTCCGGTGTGCATTCGATAGGGGACATTTCAATGGCAATGCTGATGATGTCACTTTCTGGGTAAGCGTTACGGTGGCTGTTCACAGCTCGCAAACGGGTCCACAAGGATTGCATGTATACTGCTTGTGATTGCTTGTGCCATACTTTTTAGTCCGGTGTCGGACTATAATTTGCACATTGGTGCAACATGACGTAAACTTTTTGACCACGAGTGGTGAATTCTGCCGTGACAAGTAATATGTTTATGGCACTTAGTTTATCTATAGCGACTATTTTGTTGTAACCGATTCAAATCGGCTTCATATGCTTTTTCGATCTTATCAAAGGCATTGACCAAACACTCTCTCAGTCCGATCAGGATTCCTCTGCATCCAACCATCAACATAGCGAGTTCACCAGTGATATTTCCCGTGCGTCGGAGATAAAACTAAAGCAGTTCAAGGACCCCACAAATGTGACCGCTGATGACCGCCCTCTTCCTACCCTGAAAAGACGATTACAACGGAATAATTCGGCAAGCACAACCGCAGCGGAAATCATCGTTCCAACCTTTCCACCAGAAGAAGGGCGTCTCAGCGAACCTTTTGGATTGGCGATGCATATACCTTTTCATCTACAGGTTCCAGCTGTTGATGAGTCCAAAAACCTGGGGCGGATTGACGAGGTACGCGCTTACGATGCTGTGGAAGCACCCCATGACATTGTTACGGACGAGTCATTCTCACAAGATATTCCGGACTCACCGGAGCCTCTAAGCGAGTCACACCGACGATTGGCAGGTGTCGCCATCGATATTGTGGGCGTTCAACTGGTAGGCATCTTTCCAGGTGTTGATCTAATTGCTGTTGCACCAAATACTTACCTCAACCTTCTCCTCCTTTGGTTCGCAGATTTATAACCCCTTGTCCCGAAGTTTGCTATTGGGAGACTTCGAACTGATTGCTTAACCCTGATTTATCCCGGTTATCTTGTTCATCGTTTCAATGTCCACCATGTCCGCGCGTGTTATTTCTAAAGCGCACGGCTTTACTTACTTTTCCCTAACTACCTTCCTAAATTAAGTTTGGGCTACTCAACTACACTCTCTCCAACCAGTTTGTCACATTTAGACTTATTTTCATTGACGACAGTTTTCCACCCATACGTATGTCACCACCTCTGTCGCTATGCGCGCTCCAGGGGAAGTCGCCACTGATAACCGACAGGATTGTAAATCCACCTGATTCACTACGCCGCGGATCCACTTTGCCCCCCATACACCACTCCCTTTGTGCCGCTAGTGACTATTTCATATATCTGATTTCTCTTATTCTATTTTTTATGAGGATTAGCTCATGTACCGGTTCATGATAACGCCAAAAGCTTAGTCATTATCCTTTACATAGTCTGGCCTACATTGCACTCATTGTGCTTTGTGCACAATGACGGGATTCCATCATCATCATCAGCAGCAGCAGCAGCAGCAGCATCCTTGTCACCATCATCATTATCATCTTCAATACACGTTGGCCGATGATGCGAACCACACCTTAGCTAATGTGCCGCAATACAAAAACATACTCAATTAAACATTACAGACTACGAAATCTAATAAAGTAACAATGTTAAAATCGCATTGTACATAGTCCTTGAGATCGTTTTTGGATAGGAAGCTAAAGCGGATGGAATTGACATAGTGACTCACAACAAAAACGCTACTGAGGTCGACTCTTCATTATGTCAGGTAGTGTTTTCAGATAAAGGTGTTCATCGTCCTTCGGTCCCAACCCGGCTGTCGGGAAACGCCGACAGACGCCAAGTACGAAGTGAGAGACTTCATTCCTCGTGACCAAGTTATCGCTTGGTCTCCCCTTTTCTGCCATCCAGACCCAGGCGCACAAAAAACGCACGATTCGGTCTGCTGGCATGCGCAACACCTGATCCAGCCATCGAATCCTGATGCGCGATATAACGCGACTGCTCTTCCTGCACCAAATACGCGAAGCCGAACACGCTCACGCGGTGCTCCTGTCAGACATAAACTACAATTCGAAGGCAGCGATGGTCGAACGTAACAGGCATCTTTATTTCGGTCGACTTGATGGACTAGGTTTTGCAACCGTACAGTAGGGTTGAACGGACGGAGTCCCCTTAAGAGCGAGAGTGATGTTACACAGGCGCTACAGATGGTCGAGATCGGCATAAGCGCCTCGCGGTTTTGTTATACTCTTCGTGGTCTCATCTTCGATCCCATGGCACTAATATAGCTGCCCAGTTACTTAAATTTTCTTACCATTTCTAGCTCATAATCACCAACCTTCAACTGAGGAATGGGTCCCTGCCAATCTTAGAGCAGGACTTTGCATTATGAGTAAGGCCCAAAGCAACTGACAACCAGAGTCAATTGATCCAGTGCAACAAGGCACTTTCGGGAGCTGTCGCAGATGAGCGCAGTGTCGTCGGCATACTCCAAATTTTGAACTTAGTCACCTGGGAGCGGCTGCACACTTTCTAAGTCGTGCGCGGCGAACGCCGTTTCCATAACATAAATAGTGGTGAAATTAAACAGGAAAGCTTACAGCGCACAACCTTGTTTCATATCGCTGAAGCTATTGAAGGGCGGAGAAAGTTTGCCGTAAACCTTCAGTCTGTCCGAACTATGCGCGTACAGCACTTTTATGACATTTACATATTTCTCGGGCACACCCTTCCTCATTACACAGTCCCAAAGAGCACATCGTTCAACCGAACCGGAAGCCCCTTTGATGTCTAGGAACACAAATACGGTGGGTCGCCAATAAACATGGTGGTGCTCAAACGATTGACGTAATGGAAAGATGTAGTAAATGCAGCCTCGATTTCGACGAAACCCGGCCTGCTCCTCGCGCATCTGGCTTTCATGGGCGCAATCCAGTCTATGAAGGACGACAGACAAGTAACTTAGAGGCAGTTGAGACCAGACTGATTTCTCTATGACTGTCCCATTCTGAACGGGAGCCTCCCTTGAATATTGAAACTATTACGGAGCGGCTCCACTCTGTTGGGGCAGACTAATGCTCTCATTGATCCGCTAGTAAGTTATGTGAATTATCCAAAAGAGCAGGTCCTCCGAATTTGAAGAGGAATGGATGAAGTCCATCTGCTCTGGCGGCGATGTTCAATTTCAGTCGCCTTATCTCACGTTCGATTTCTGCCTGTGTGGGCAGGTCGAAGGGGACGGCCCAGGGGGTAGGGCGATCATTAGCTGCTGGAGAAGCTGGCAGCTCTGACTGATTGAACTGCTTCTCAAAGTGTTCTGCCCAACGCTCAAACCGCTTTCACCAGCTGTGAATAGCTGTCCACTCTCGTCGCGTATGGTCTCGCTAACACCAAGTCTCCTACTGCCCGTTTCGCGTGTCAGACGGAATAACTTCCAATGGTTACTAAGGACAGGTTTTCACGGTCTCTCTTTAGGCTACCAGGCCGTTTTGCCCTGAGAACGTTGCGAGTCTCATTGTATTCCCTTCCAGCCGGAACACATCGGTGAGCATCCAGAAGTTCCAGAGACTTTGTGAAGACCCAAGGCCTAGGTTGGCAGTTTGATTTACCACATGAAGACATGTCTGCTGCTAATAATGGCTGGCGGATGTGCGACCAGTGATATTCAACTATGTTCAGTGAGCTCTTACTCATGCCAGCGTAATTTGATACACATTCAGAACACCTGGCTTCGCCAGTTGGCTGGTGTCAATGCGGTCAGAGCGACGTTGCGGATGTCCTCAGGTCAGCGCATACAAGTACGTACATGTACTCCAAATCGAGCGACAGTTCTGGACGCAGCCTCTCCATCGGTACATTGTCGCAATGTGATCGATTTGCGTCCATAGCTGGTTCGAGGCTGGTGGGCGCCAAGTCACCCTCCGGCGGGTGCTGTGTCGAAAGTTAGTGCTCGCATGACATAAGTGGGCATCTTCACACAAATGAAGTAACCGCTCACCGTTATCATTGCGGGATCCTGCACCATGTTGGGCGCTCAGATGAGGCTCATCAGTGGACAACTTTCCAACTTGGACCTTCAAATCGCCAGCTAGCACCACACCATTTGTACTTTTTCTATAACAGAGGAGCGCTTTCGGTTGGTAATAGAAGACGTCTTTTACCGAGTCAGCGCTTCAATTTGTGTACGCGTTGGCCGCAATGGCAAAGAATCACCGTTTATCCCCACGCGACTTCGATGCGTTGAACGAGCCAATCAATCTGACAACACACATCCGACTGTTCATTGGGATCCAATCGGTCGAGACAGCTTCAACACGGGGGCTAAGGGCAATGCCCACAGCGGTTTGACTGGTATTTGTAGCTGCCTTATCTCCGGACAAGCGCAATGAGGAAATACCACCGTCAGTAGACTCCTGCTCGAATAACTTGATAGATACCCTAGACGACGACAACAGAATGAAATCCGGACGGGCAATACTGCATTGGTTGAGGACCGCAATTGCGTTTTGTAGCTCATATCGTAATTGAAGCCAAAATAATTTCTTCTGGATCCCAACGAGTTAGTCGGTCTTTCGAATGGACATTGTTTCCTTCGTTTGCGTACTAATATCTCCACGAACATTAGATATCGCGCCATACGTATCGACAGTTCGCTTATTCAATGAAACTCCGTATCCTCCGAACGATGAGACGAACACTTGGCTTATAGATCATCCTGGTAGGCATATGGGAGTATGCAACCATTTCTACGTTGCTGTTCGACGAAATCGTTTACTGCATTTTCTAGTTAAGCTCACACAGAGTCGGTATCGGGTTAGAGAACGCTCATAGTCAACGCACATATTCCTAAACAAGACACTATCACAGCAGAAATCACATCATATGAGACATTGTGAGGACCATGACCTATTTGCGTTCTTCTATCCATAGCACATAAAACTGTCTATGAGCCGGTAGCACTGCTCATTAATATATTGCATCTGTACTAGACTCTTATTCGACATTCTCAGGTCTGCAATCGGTTGGAGCATGCGTGGTTATGGCGAACAAACGGTGTCTAACGCTGCTCCATACGTTTGCGTAGTTGATGTTGTCATCAACTGGGTTGCACACATACAGCTGTCAGCTGTACTCCAATCAACCAGTTACGTTTCAGCCTTCAGGTTAGACATGCTTTTGCTGCACCGCGAGGATAGAGTGGGCGTGCATACTTTGGCCACTCCTTGTAGTCAGAAATTTTAGTTTTCGAGACGTAGCACACATCGACACTAGGGATATTCAATGCGCGTATGCAAATGCGGCCTGTCGCCCCTACTCTTTTTGTGTGCGAATGTTGAACCTCACTTGGGAAATTGGACAAGTTAGTGTGCGGATGAATTTTCGATGTCAGCAGGCTATTGGACTCTGTGATAAAGCCAATGCAGTTGGTGCAACATCGGTGTAAGTGCCGTCGTCGTTATTCCGTGGGCTACCAGGGAGGTTAGCAATACAACTAAGAGTGGAAGAAAACTAGTTCGAAAAGGAAACAAGGGGTCTCGTCAGCTGCCCGTTTCCAGTTGCTTGCTTCTGATCTACATATGCAGAAGTTTAGGTGACTGTGCTAAAAGGGCTCGGTGACTGCGGCAGGTTGATGCAAGACTTTGACGAAAATCTGTTGGTTGTACACCGACTTGGATACTGACAGGATAGCGGTTAGAGTATTTTTGCTAATGTTTATAGCTCGAAATGTCAACCGTCTAGTTTCGATCGGCTGATGTGTCTGTCTGAGTTCATTTCACCTTGCACGCAAACTTCGTCAAAACTATCGTATCTGTATCGACTTGCTCTGGTGTAGTATATATATATATATATATATATATATATATATATATATATATATATATATATATATATATATATATATGCATGAGTCCACGAATAGACATGGAGCCATCAAATACTATGGAACTCAACGAAAGGTACAGATATCTTAAAAGAAAATACAACATGGTTTTGTCAGAGGGCAAAATACTACCCGGTTGCCCAATCCGAGCCTTTGGCCGATTGGCCCGGCCGCAAGGCAGCGGAGCGAATTCAGGAAATCGCGCCCACTGTGAGCCGGTGACCAATTACTCGGTTCATACGCCTTTCGTTTGTCCGTTTGTCTAACTTGGTAGGAATTGATAATCATAGAAACATCGCTGCGAATCAGTCAGAGAGGAATCAGCCCAAGCGTTACATTGTACTTGGTGGTAGTTATTGCGTTGATCTTCCATCTCCAACTCGGATATGCATATCTGTTGTCACAAATATCACTGCGATTCGTCGTGAAGTCATTCACCAAACAGCCACCTGTTTACCTGACTTTATAAATCCTTTTACATACGTTGAATACATCATTACCAGACCCGTCCCGACAACCAGCAATCGATCGAAGTATTTCCGTAAGCGAATATTAGACGCCGCAGAAGCCATCGCCATTCGGCTGTACGAACCAGCACTGTGCACACAGAAAAGGTTCACTCACGCGTTGAGCCTTCCTTGGCCAGGACGGACTGCAGTTGACCTGTACACGCGTACGACTACGACTGGAACCTAACTGACGGTTTGTCACAGCGCACTAGGATCATTTTGCCTGACTGACGACCCGTTGGGTCTGTATACAAAAATTTTGCATTTCATGTAATTGTAAAATGAAGAATTACCGAAAACGTGTTCCTTTACACAGACTTCTGATCAACCACCAACCTCTTGGTTTCGCCCATCACTCCATTTCGAACCTCCTATGTCCATGGTGTGAGGTAGCCCAGTTCTTTTTGAGCTCATGAAATGTTTACCTTGCATTCCGACATTGTACCTGCTCCGGGCATAACATTCTAAGTCGCTCATACTTACTATGTCACCCGGCTGCTTGCATTACTGTGTCTGCCATTGGCGTGGCTACCACCTCTGGAGTGTGGGAAACTTCCGGTCTGGTGGCCCATACAGTCCGGTTTTTAACTGAATGCTCATTAGTCTGCTGCCTTCACCGTTAACTTTTGGGTATCGGGATGGAGCATATTAGTGATTAAAGATACCTTATTGGAAATGGAAGCAGAGCACCAGCGGTTATAAAGCTCTCATCAAAGACGCTGCACTCACAGGATCTAAGGAGCTCTCGTATTTACTCTTAACATCCATAACATGCATGACCTAATCTCTTCTGACTCACTATCGGTCGCTTTCTCACATCCCCTTTGATTTTCTCCTTCTTTCGCCATCATTAATTTTCATTTTTATCCATTCGTTTCACAGTACTTGGACCCTGCGCTCTTTTGATTGGGATGACAGGTGACTGGGTACACTTCGCTTTTACTCAACTATCTGCCAATGTGCGCTAAGTAGTTTGACTCTATTCTGCGGCTCGGTACTGTTTTAAGCTGTAGAGACTGCGAATAGCAACCCCGCAAATTTCCATTAATTCCTTGTATTGACCCTTGACCGATAATTAGTTGCGCAACTCCTTTATCTCTGGTACCGCTGATACCATTGCAAACTTGGACCCACGTCTATCATTACAGCCCTCGTCTTTGTGAGTGATAATCAGCTCATCGTGGATTACACGGGGGATGAAATGTGCTCATTCCGCTTCATAATGCATCGTATTCTGCAGTACACAAGGCACTCAGTCGTACTGAATGTACCACTAGTAAACCTTTCCATCTTGTCCAGACACATGCAATAAGGAACTATCTTTTCAACTACTATTTCTATCTAGAACTATACGCAACTGTTCCCCTCACGTAGTTCTCATACTGCACTGACTGCTTCTGCCACTTCGCCATTCTCTGTTATTCGCAAGGGTATCGTGATAACTCTGAGACCTCCACCGGAAAGCAGTGAGGCACACTTTCTCACCCAAGACGCCTCAGCTTCATAAACAGCGACGGCTCAACAACTTACCTAGGCGACAAGAAGACCGGGAATGTCATACCACACGTCCTGATGGCATTACAGTTAAATGTTACTTCAGTACAAGTCCATTCTTTCCATTTCCCCGCTGTTTATCTTCATTATAACTGTCCCTTGCACTCGATTTCGACGAGGGCTCACGATAACAGTCGATTCAGCGTTCATAGCGAAAATACGAAATCAGAAACTGGGCAGTTCATACACTTCATAATTACAGTGGTGTAATCTGTGCTTTGGGTCCACAGTAGTTCCATGCCTATCCGTTTTCCTCTCGCTTACCCCGTCCCACCGGTTCCGCATGGCAACTCCCACAGATGACAATTACACCAATGTTCCCTCGCTGTCACCGTTATCTTTTTCTGTTACATCTCTTATCTTATCAGGCGCCAGTTAACCTGCCGCAATTATCCCCTGATTGCCACGGTTGCTGGTTGACAACTCCCATTAATTGATGTTCGCCTTTTTAAATACCTTTTTGCTCTCGTTAGCCCGTCGACACGATGTTATAAATGCGGAGGTGTAGAATTCCTGTTCGCATTTCTTTTGTGTCAGTAGAAACGCTCTTGTCGAAGGACTGTCTTCTCTCTCCCTCTCGGTCTAGCGGTGCAGTTCTGGAATTGCGCTCATCTCGCGTGTGGGATAATCGCGGCTAGGATCTGCGGCGGCGTGAACGGTCTGGATTTCGTGCAGTTACTCGTCGCGTGGGGAACGACACCGACAAGCGTTATTGGCTCGGCTAAGCAGCATATTTAACAATCTGCATCTAGAAATCCACCGCTATCGTGGTCGCTTCATTGTTTCTAAACCGATCGAGGGAATTGGGTGGCTCTTGCTAGGGCACGGGTTTCCAAAGTTTTTGCAAGGAGGGGCACATTTTGTCAGGAAAAATATGTCGGGCCATATTCAGTCTGACTTGAAGATAATAACAAAAAATACACATGTACAAAAATCTTCAAGCTTGCATCTATTATTTCATGATGAGGCCGAGGTCCAGTTGAAATGTTAACGCGAGCATCATTTGGCCCACGAGTCGGAATTCGGAAATCCCTGTGCTAGGGCATACTCATTTGATCCAGTTGAACGTTGCGCCATTCCACACATTCTAAACCTTTTTCCTTCAGACAAACGCCCTCATAATTTTTGCATGCATTTTTCTCTAAAGTGAGTAAGACACGTTTCAGCCTTTACTCGCAGGTAGCAGCAGTGTTTTTCCTTGCATCTTATCGCAACACATGAGTTTTCTATTTCGCTATCGAGTGGGCTGAATCTTAATCGCACTTCTCCCTCCTCGTAGCATTTGTCCTGGTGGTTATTGCCACATTCTAACACTTATGAATCACTTCCATTCCGGAAAAATGTTTACAACCTTGCACATCAATTGGTCGGTAACTCATGGTGGTCAAATCGTATTTTCAGGTTACAATGGCGTTCAGTAAGTCTTGGGTGTTCCGGAAAAAGGCCCTGCTGGAGCTGGAACAAAGAGTTACGGCCCCTATTTTACCACCTTTAGCATCGTTACCAGACTCGTCCGAGCCGGATCCCCGTGCTGAACTTCGCTCCACTGCATTCCTGTTGCACAAAGCACTGCACGATCAAGTAAGCCTTCCCTCGGCATCACGCCGCTCGATTGTCCCCGTCTTTTCTTATTTTGATTGTGTCATCCTAACGATTCTTCACATACTTGCAACGATCATGTGCATAGGAAAATGCAAAAGGTAGATTACCATTCTAGTTCGCTGACTCATTAGATAAAGCAGCATTCGATACATTGATTCCAGCACGTACTGTCTATGTCCTCATGGAGGGGAGCTCTGTTTCACCCACCCGAGGTTGGACGGCGTAATTTTCGATAGAGGCACTTGTTGAGCTAGTCGTTGAATGTGAAGTTGTTGACAATTCAACAGGGTTCTGTTGGTTCATCTTACCTTCCATGTTGACATTCAATTCACCCGTTCTGTGCATTGCCCGAATCATTCCAGGACTATCTACACAGCCGGCAATTCTGCTACCTTCTAGTTGCCTGACTATAGCAAGCATTAGTGGAAGCCAAAGGAAGGTTATCTTGCCGGAGACTCCTTATCTTTTCATACTACGCAACTGTTTGTGCTTATGTTGTGTTAACAAGATGTATGCTCTTTGATGTTGGATGGTTGAATTAAACGCCTTGGTTCGATCTTAGGTCCCCATTCATCACGCTTCTTGTTGCGACGCATTAGACGCATGCCTCAATTTATGCCTAAATGATGGAGAACCACCGGTACAACAGAATGATTTGTCGCTATCACTGATGACTTCACTTTTGGGTGTGCTGATCTTCAATTTTAGGTGCTTTCTGTTTTTCGTTTGGCCGCTCATTCCATTAAAGTCACTGTTGTGGACTTTGCCGAACGCTATTGCATCCCTCGTGTAGAGTTGCAGTTCGCCTTGGACAAACTGATTCCAGTACTATGCCATCGCACTGGGGACACTTCAAGTCGTGTCAGAGACGTGGCAAAGCGGCAGATTCTCGCAATGGCCCAATGGCCTCAGGTAAACTTAGTGCAGTTTTCGATATTTTAAACATTTGCATACACCGCTTTCCCAGTGAACGCTGTTTCGTAGAGTCCTGAATCTTCTTGCATTCACATTTGTATGCGTTCTCAGTGAGTCGGCGGATGAATCGGTTACAAGAAGCCCCAACTGCTACTACACCTCACTCTTCGGATTAAATCCACCCGGCCTTGTATATCACTAGAGTAACGTCGATATTACCATCACCGAAAAATGGAGATTTCCCCTCACACGTACCGCTTTCCGTTGACATGGCGCCTGCTTGCTTGTGACTTCATTTCCACACGAATCATCATTATCCACTTTAGCTAGAGGTGGGAAACACCTCAGTTATTGTGCCGGAATACCAATCCATTAGATGATATTAGAAACTAATGAGGAGTGAAATGACAGCAAAAGTTGCTCAAAACCAAAAATTATACCATGCGTTGAGCCCGAGATCATGATTGTGAAGGGGGAGGCTAAGTGGGAGAGGAACGTACAAAGTAATTCATAATGCAAACGTCTCATTTCCTTACCTCTAACTTGCTGCCGTCTAACTTTTAGAATAGACAGAAAGCTGATATGCAGTCGAACAATCGCGAATCTCAGTGTGACGATCAATATGGTGGAGTGTGGGCCTTATCGAACGGCTGTGGGAAATGGGTACTCGGAGTGGGTCCGATAGGATGAACTGTTAGCACCTGCGCATTGATGCAACCCTTTATTGCGGTATGAGAAGCACACATTTGTAGTCGGTAGTTGTCTCGGCCTCACTGGATCATAGTCTGATTTTTGGAAAGTTACACAGAAGACATCCTTGTTTAATTCAAGTCAGAACAGACGCGAACTGGGAACATTTTCGCCATTTTCACACTAGTACCACGGATGTAGTGAGGCATAACATTGGCATGAAATTGCAATAAAAGCGTAAAAAGAAGTAAACATGCATGCACATCACTCAAGTAAGTCTTCACACGTAGTGCTAATAAGTTTCTTGGAGTCCAAAAGAAAACGGGTTAAATATGGTAAGATAGAGTTTTGATGATGTGTTGTTCGAGAAAACAAAACCCTAACTTTCGAACGGGTAGACGAGCAGCAGTGGGCTTTAGATGAATCAGTGTGAAGGGTGTCAAAAGGGCCACTTAAAATCTTTGCTGAAAAACTGTCACATGCTCAAAAATGCCTAATAACGATGAATACAACCAGGGACTCTCTAGACAATCCACTGCACCCTAGAAATGAACTTAATGGACGCACAATCAATGTGAAGTCTTTTTGTGGAATGCCAGGAAACAAGATTGTAACGCTACAAGGTGTTTGGAAATTTAAGCTACGCGTTCCCCACCGGAAAATTCAACAATAGACCAGATCCGGATCTGAGAAAACGGTGCTATTTGTACAAATTCATCGTACCAAAGTAGAAATTACCTTAACGGTTTTCCAAACACAAAAGTTTACCAACAGATTTCAATCAGATCCACAAAAGGTCCGTAAGCCAAGGTGCACACGAAACAAATGAACACAGAGGTGAGACCGAAGTTATGATAAGGCAATTGAGCCAATCGTAAGCGTCCGCCAACGGGAACGGGCTAAGAACAGACAGACCTGCCACACTGGATACATGAGTTGTGGGAACACAAAATCGCTTATGTCAAGAGAACAATGACAGGTCCATGGAGGCGGGGTGAAGTTAAGATGAGTCACCGGGGTCACTCGCTAAGAGCATCGGGGCAGAGAACAAAGGAATGGAAAGTAAGGGAGTTAGCAAACATAATCGATCCAGACGGCCGAGCAATGTAAAATTGGGCATTCAACATGGGAGAGACTGAGGTGGTCAAAGTTCTTTCTAAAAAGATAGATGAGCGATATAAACAATACGGAAGAATACAGGCAGTCACGAATCTACGAACTAAAGAGCAGGGTACTGAAAGTATTTTCAGTTTCAGGGTACTTCCTAGTTCTTATTGTTGGTGCATCCCTGTCAATTCTTCTGACTTTATCTAAACCTAATTCAATAAACATGAATGTACTGCAGCAGTGTCAATTAGTCGCGTCTTTTCCTCTCAATTAAACTACAAACCAGCATCCATCGTTTGACACTTCAGTTTGAATAGCATTTATGGTTCACAGCATAGGGTTTCGGATTTGCCTGTTACCGTGGCCTCCATAGGACAGCCACAGGACGTCTGCGCCTGCAGAGAGATTATGGGTGGCTTGCGCTGCACCACCCACAGCTCCAACCACACACCCTATATCCAGTGTAAACGCGAAGGAATAAGACCGGGAGACATGTGGATGGGAGCCACATGTCATCAACGGAGCCGGCCCATACTCCTTCACAGGCAAACACAAGCACGTTGTATTCGAGGAATCAACTGCACACAGGGCGGCGGTTGTACCGTAAGTTGGTTAGCAACGAGTCCGCGATAAGTAGAAAAATGTCCACAAGTTACTTAAAAATACTACAAACGCAACAAAATTACCGAAGTTAAGCGCAATAAGTGTTAGCAACGTGGCCAGTTAATAGAACATTATTAAGGTAGGCAGAACAAACCAAATAAACTGGAATGAAAATTATCCAGCTTAAAAATGTAATTCGGTTTAGCCCAACTGCGGTGAAGAAGCATCATAAATGCAACATCAGCCTCAGTTTGGAGCACTATATATATATATATATATATATATATATATATATATATATATATATATATATATATATGGTTGAACAAATTCGGTGTATTGATCAACAATTATACCTGGAGTCCAATGACTCTACAACGCTTCCTCGATTTGGAATGCAGTTTGGAAATTCGGTGTTCAAGATCCAAGAATTTTCGTTGCAAGCATTCACACGTTGGCTCGTCTGTGTGATTTGCCTCGGCTCTACTAGGACTGAGGTATGCACATATTGCACTTGAGTTGTATTTTGTTTAATTGTACTTTAGTTAACGTCTTGGTTGGACCAGGGCGTTTTTACGTGTTACTCGAGATTCACAATGAGTCTATCGTCTATATAAATAGCTTCTCGCCACAGTGGAATATACAGCCACATCTGCCAACAGTTGGGTAATTGGATGTTATGCAGACTACTTCTTGTAAATTGGCTAAAACAGTTTGAGCACTTTTTCGAACGTCGAATGTTGGACAGGACGCAGTGGGATTTGCTGGATTTATTCTTTCTGTGATCACGTCATTGCGGTTATCAGATAATCTGCGATATTACCGCCTTCTAACACATATAGCAGACGGCATCTGCAGCAAACACACTAACGATAAGACATCACTGTTTGTATTGTACCCCTTATTTGTGCATCACTTTCCATCTGGTAACCGTATTGATGGCATATGTTTCCTTATTCCTCAATCTGTCTCCATCTATTGTTGATGCCCACACTTCTGACTAAAGTTATAACCGCCACTTTTAGGTTAACGCTTCAATGTTGACTAAGCGACGACAGTCGTATTGATTGCTTAGATAATTATACGTGAAATCTTCCAACATTAGTGCAATATGGTTGCTATTCTTTGATTCAATTCATACTCGCGCACGTTCATAGTGTTATTGCTCATGAGGGTTATTGTTTCTCCATCCACTTTGTGGTAGTCCATGCACAATTGTGAATAAATGTCCGTTCGCAACACTGCAGTACTGCAACTCGAACCAGGGACCTTTGGTATGTCAACTGATATCTCATATTGAATGACTAAGTGGAAATCATTTAGAAACACTTGTAAGCGACACACTTCAACCTGACAGACAGATGGCGTTTTCACTCACGCAACACCATTATCTGCTGGCTCCATGTATAAATGGGACTCGACTAAATTACAGGTCACACTAACATTTGTTCGTATCTCGATACATTCCCACTTGACAGATGGATCTTATTACATTTCTTCTCGTGTGACATCGTGACTTATTAAGGGTTAAAATATGAGGTCAGTGTATCCCATCTCAAGTGTCTCTGTACTGCTGCCGCCTTCAGGTAAACCCACTAAGATTCAGACAAGTCATCAAGGTTGGTTCCGGAACAGCGGCAACACGTTGTGACATCCAAATCGAAATGCTTGGGTACAGGTAGCTTTCTAGACACAGATGAACTGGTCGAGATATGCTAGCGGTCAGAACGAATTACCAGGGGAAATAAATAGTAACACATGACGGACTGCCTGGTGGTTCTACATCCCTGTTGATTCTCACTCACCTAGGACAAGAGAGGATTATAACCGTCTCTGGTTTTACCATACGACACGGATAGCCTGCAGTGGACATAATCGCACCATTTGCCTGCTAACTTGAAAACTTGCTCACTTCATCTCCGTCATTTTCTTTGCATCATCCGTATTCTATATCCCACATGTAAGTCGCGTTTGGGTACAGTTTCATTCTAAGATGATTAACTACTGACTTGGTGCAATGTGATATCTTTATTGTACATGCCTAGAACGAATGAGCCACAGTTAACCTAACTTTATTAGGCTTATTTAACTCGGTTATATTTCGCGATGACTTCACACGTTGCCCATTGCAATGTTGTACTCATCATGGCCTATGCTATGCTATTCTTGCTACCTTCTCAAGTGGAGTCTAGTATGGTTACATACCGAGACAATGGGCTACGGCATATTCCTCTTCGTATTATCATTAAGTTGAGATTCACATCACTATGTAAGCTCCATGGTATTACTCAGCAGACTATGCTATCTACATTCTGCTTCTTGAAATCGATTTGTAGATTACATAACCGTAGCTTGACCAGCTGCTCAATGCTAACTAGCATGACGCTTAGAGCGCCGGTCATCATCATCATCATACACGTTAGCCAGAGGTGGGGAACACCTCAGCTACTGTGCCGCAATACATAGAAAAAAGGAGAGAAAAAAAGTAATTGGTGCAAGCCGGCTGAGCTACCGGTAACGGATGGGCATCGTTCCGGTAAGCTACCTGCCGGCTACTGTGCATCAAAAAAAATTACTATGCAAAATTATATAAGTCT